GAAGATTATGATTATTTATGCATGCTACTTTGAAGGGAAAAGTACTTGAGATTGCCGCTGTTGTACAGATCCAGGAGAGATTTGGTGCACACTTACACATAGCAGCTGGTGTGTTGTCTCAACAGTTGTCCTTGCATGTCTGTATCTGTGTTAATGGCTAATTACTGCTCTGGTAGAGCAGACTCCCAGGAGAGTGGTGGAGGGACAATTCAAGTCAAAGATACTTTATTAATCCCAGAGGGAAATTAGAGTTTCAGTACACACAATTCTGAGATCAGACATACATAGGCAAAAACACATGACAAGAGTTGGTGACTGTGGTCATTCGCAGCCCGAGTCGCGCTACCTTAATACCCACTAACTTAGACTGCCAGAGGTCGGGATGTTCCCTCATTTTCATTTGCTCTCCTTTCTCTTCTTTGCCCTTCTTCTTCTCCATGGTTCATCACATGAAGCTATCCTCTTTTCTTCCCCATCATTACAATTTCTATTGTTCTCTCCCTTTCACTTCACTTTGGCCTCAAGGTCACAGAGTTGGTGTTGTTTTCCTCCATAAAAACCAACCAATACCATCGAGCTCAGGAAAATCTAGAGCTAGTAATAAAATACGTGATAACTGATGAAGAAGAAACTGCTGCGTTTGCACAGCGCAGTAGTTATCTCCCTAATAAAGAAAGCTGCTTACAACAACGACGGAACAGCCACACAGTGTTTGTTCCTGAAAGAGTCACTTCCAAAAACTTCCATCTCTGCTGTCGACGAGGAGCTAATGGTAGCTGTGGGTGAATGTCCAGTTAGTTGTTACCCTAAAGATTTTCAGCAGGGTGTAAGGAGTCTGAAGCTAAACTATACCTTTCCTCATAGCTGATGAAATTAGTGCGAATGTATGAGTTCAGCATTATAAATAGTGAAAATATTATGAATAATTGACTTTAATTTTTTGTTTACTTTCCGGATTATGTGATATAATTTAGTTTCAATCAATCAAACATAATTTGTACAGCACTTTTCAAACAAATAACATGCAATTACATGCAATTAAAAAATGTAGAAAATAAGAAATGGAAATGGACCTTAATGTGCATCAATTAAATGCCAGTTTGTCAAACAAAAACGGAACAAGTGTGGCTCTGAAAAGGTTTTTATTTGCTGATTTAATGAAGGTCTTTGAGACCCGACTCCAACCACATCTCTACTTCCTAACACTTACTAACTTGGTCTGCCTCTTCCTTCTCTTCTAATTTTGGGTTAATTTTGTTGCAAATCTGACAATGGCACTCAGAAAAGGGAAATAAGGTTTTAGCATTTGGCTGCTTGCATTTCAATAGTATTAGAACAAATAGAGATTATTAGTATTTGGTAAGGTGGCATTAACAAGACACTGAAAACTTTGCATTCTTTATTAGTTAGAAATCAGAATGGATGCTTTTGTGAATAAAATCAATGTGTTTATATTTACAAAGCTGGCGTCTGTTTGATGTCTTCTGTCTGTAAGAAACCTGAATCACAAACTGTTTGAGTTTGAGCAAAAACCCAGTTCAGAGCTAAACCTCCCTGATCTGTCTACAGGTGGTTCAGAAAGCCTGTGTTTCATCGTCAAAGTACACTCCCATCACCCCGCTTCTCCAGCTTCACTGGCTGCCAGTCAACTTCAGGGTTCATTTCAAGATCCTGGTTCTGGTCTATAGGGCCTTACATGCACAAGCACCTTCATACATTGGTGATCTTCTTAGTCCCTACACCCCCAGCAGGTCCCTGAGGTCCAGAGCCCAAATCCTACTGGTTGTGCAGCACCAGGCTAAAAACCAAAGGTGACAGATCATTTGCTGTGGCCCCCAGACTCTGGAACTCTCTCCCCCTGAGCCTGAGATCAGTGGACTCAGCGGTCTCCTTTAAAGTGAGGGTCAATGCCTGGGTGGAGATATATTTTATCCACACTTCCTGTTAGGAAAATGCTTCTGAAAACACAATAATAGTGCATAACTGAACATAATTATTTGAAGGTTGATATTTTTTGCATTAAAACACTTTTCTTTTATTGGTCGGACCAAATATGCTAATTTTTTTAGATAGGAATTTTGGGTTTTCATGAGCTGTGTGCCAAAATCATCAATATTAGAGACAATAAAAGGCTTGAACTACTTCAGTTGTGTGTAATGAATCTAATATATATGAAAGTCTAATGTTTATCAGTACATTACAGAAAATAATGAACTTTATCACAATGTGCTAATTTTTTGAGAAGGACCTGTAAATGTGGAGCAGAGTTTTAACCTGAAGATGGAGATAGAATTACGGTTTTGGGCTGAAATATTACATTTAAAGTAAGTTGCACTAAACTGCCACACTAATGATTACACATGTGTACAGCACCATTAGACACTCATCTATACAAGTTATCAGCAAAACATTGTTAATTTAGGCGATACTCACTCTTTAAAAGCAGCTGAAAGCAGTTTTCAATTATTAACCCACACAAGCCACTATTTAACTATGCTGATATCAAACTACACCGCGTTTTTAAAGGGGTTTGTATTTATTGCAGTCATGGTATTGGGATTTGTTCAGGCTGGCTTTTACGTGACGTACTGATTCTTCCTCACGACATCCTCTTCATGCTTCTTTTTCTACAAATCCTGCCTTTCTCATTTTTGTGTTTAAAATGTTCCATTTTCCTAATTCAGGAAATTTTTAGACCTTTGTCGTGTGTTTCTATTTAAAATATAATATTTTTGAAATAGATATTTGTGGGGTTTTTTTAACTAATTTTTTATTTATTTTTGTTCGTGTGAAGCGCCTCGTGATTTTTTTATATTGAGGTGCTATATAAAAGAGCTTTTCTTCTTCTTAAACATCTTTGTACTACAACATAAACAGAATTGTATTGTGCTCAAGTCAAAAACACAATAATAGTTTTTAATCAACAACAAAATACACTAATAGCTTTTTATTATAATGAAAACCATTGGTGATAGGAAAATGTGTTTGAGGTGACAGTGTTACCGTTAATATGTCACCACTAGAGATTTTTAACAAATCTGGATTTCTTATGAACCGCTAACATCTAAATCTGATATCTGAAACAGGTTTAAGACTCTGCTGTGAACACCTGAAAGCATCATAAATGTCTGAAACCACATACCCTTTATTTGACCACTTCTTATGGCTCTAAAGTATGAAGTTAGGTAGCTTTAAAAACACAACATCCTACTAGGTCCAAATACTCTGTTGTTCTGTACTGTGATCTACCTCGTTTAATAAATTGTAATTGATATTAAAAGTTCCCTGTTGAGCCCCTGCTGCTGCTTTTCTGGTCTGTCTCTGACGTCTGTGGTGAATCACAGTTGATTATAACCAACCATGTTCACACATTTTGAGAAGATGGCAGAGAGCGGGATTGGGCATCTTTTCCCTCCTCTATCAGAATGAAACCACTGCCCCTCTGATGCAGAGGGTGAGACTCCTACATCTCTGAGCTGTCGTTATTATTAGATGTACAACTCTCTCCAAATTAGACCCAGAGATTTTCAATACAAGTGACTCAACTTGGCTGTGCCGTCACGCAGCTGCCACAGTGAACATAGCGGAGTACATGTAGCCCCGCTGCAGCCCAGATACCGTCTTAATTAAAAGTTAACTGTAGTCTCAATCAGTGGCTCTCCCTGTGCAGCCTTGTTGTTTAGAAATGACCTTCTGCAGCGTCCTGATCCCGGGTTTTGGTCAGATCTGTACTTGATGTGATCAAACTCAACTGGTCATGGTTATTTATTATGTTTGTTGTTTTGGCAGAAGCTTTTGGCCAAAACAAAGAAGGTGATGTTTACTATGCAGTCATTTAACCTTGCATGTGTGTTTTTAAAACCCACAAATGTTTATTCTATAATCATGTCGAGTTTGGTTTTACAAGCAAATGTTAATCAATTTATATCAATAATAATACATTTATATAATTTTATATATTTACACCTGCCAAGGTTTAAAATGTTTCTCAAAACAATCAACCTAAATAACTCATCTATTAATTCTTTAACAATAAAAAAAAATCATTAGATGCACTGAGTCTAATTTCTCCGTAGGTGTGTTAGCTCTGGTTTATTAACCCACACTAAAGCCACTTTTTAACTGTGCTGATAACAAACTACAGACCGTGTTTATAAGGGTTCTGTATTCATTGCTGTCATGTTGCTGGATTTTTAAACCTGTTCAGAAGCATAGCTGAATACATTTTCTCTTCAAATAATCAGAGTTGTCCTTCTCAAACAGCTTTGAGAGGGGTTGGAGACACACTTCTGACTAAAATGTGCCAAATGTCCCACGTGATGAAAAAATCCTTTTGCAATAGTGCCACACGTGGAACAGTTCAGTGTTATTTCAACTGAAGATGTGTTTGTCTCCCACTTTTGTGTCTCCTTACTTGTCAGCCACAGCCCAGTGAGACACTGGTTCAACCATCCAAACCTTTTGCAAAGAGGATCTGAAACAAACTGCGAGAGAGGGATTCACTCTACAACTAGAACAGATCAGATCTACTTGTTTCAACTGATAAACCAGTTGTTAGTCATCCTCTAGGTCTTGTGTTGGAGCAGGAAAATGGCTGTTACATCATTTGTTTGTATGGTGAGATCCTTAACCCTCCCACTGTCTTTATGGGTGACCCCGCGAGGAAAGTTGACCATTGAGCAGGATTGATGGTTTATCCCTTGATGTCTACGTGGCAGGGGTGAGGTGGTGCTCACTCCTCACCCCTGCCACGTGGACCCAAGGGATAAACCATCAACCCTGCTCAATGGTCAACTTTTCTCACGGGGTCACACCCATTAGGGCAGTGGGAGGGTTAAAATGCACTTTTGTATCTGACCTCAAAGTAAGATCCTACCTTTATGTCCACTAGTCAGAAACACAAAGTCGTTAAATCCAGAAGTCAGCGGATGTTTCTCACGGTGTGTGTTTCCGTTGTTAATCCTCCTTATCTTGTGTCGTTCTGCTCTATTTCTCTTTAGTTGGTGCTGTTTTCAGGAAAGCTCAACACCATTGCCAGCATAGTGACCATTTTCTTCCTGCTGGTGTATGCTGCCGTGGACTTGGCTTGCCTAGCCCTGGAATGGGCCTCCGCACCTAATTTCAGGTAAACACATCACCTGCTTAGCAGATTGACACACACACACACACACACACACACACACACACACCTCTTCTTCTCTGACTCTGCTGCTCTGTGCATCTTTGTGAGGGAGGTTGTTTGCCAGATGGATGCTCAGAGATGGTATGATAATTAAAAGACGTAAAACTGGCCGGTGCTTATAGCCCCATATTGGACAGGGACTGACAATAAAGCTGTGACTGTTGTTATTGTTTGAAAGTGCAGCCTGAACTGGATGTTGTAGTTACGGCGCTTAGAGATGCTTAGAGATAAAAATTTACAGTGTTGGTATGTGTTCGGTGTGGCTGTGTAGTCCTGGGACACTTGTTGTTATCCTGATTTATGGAAGCGTCCTGAAACTATGCTCACACAACGCTAGTATAACCTGGGGAACGGGTGGAGTTTTATGGGCCTGGATGTCGTTATGACACTGCCAGAGTAAGAAATTTCAGTCACTCTGCACTTCACCTTCAATGGTGGTCATGCCATTCAGAAAAAAAATCTCCAAAATCCAATCAGGATGTTATTTTTCTAAAAAGGCACATTCTCCCTCAGCAGCTTTTAAACTACTTCATGGCAGTTTTTTGGGGGGTTTTCAGTTTTCTTTTATTTATATATTTATTTTGCTCTGGTAGGAAGGAAATTGTTTAAGCTTCATGACTGTGAAGAATTACACCCAGTGCTGCACCAAATGTTAGCTATCCCTCTGCATTGATAGTTGGAAATGAATCACAAAGTAAGAGCACTTGCAGCTTTTTGAATCGGAGGTACATCAGTCAAGTCTGAACCAGAATGATAATGCAGCAGTAAACACAACAAACATACAGAATATTCAGACAACACAGAAAAACAGCATCGGGTTGGAAAAGAGTTTTAGTGATGTCGATTTTCTTTGATATGAACTAGTTTAATCAATCATCATTATTGTGGTTCAGATTCAGAAATCTTAATTGGTCCCAAAGGGCAATTTACTTGTAGCATACCACAAAAACCATAAAACCATAAAAAAAAACAACTTAAAATTATTATCAGTTAACATGGTCACTCATTTGCCCTGGAAGACACACCATGCCAGCAAATCAGCGTAATGCTGCCGCCACGGGGTGTCTTATGAACGCGGCATGGCATTGAGGGAATTCTGTGGCATTTGTGCCACCACGCTTGGTAGTAACATTGCTGCGACGTCAGACCTGTGAATGCAGCCTTGGCGCAACAGATGTTGGGGTCATGATCATGGGAAGTTGCTGCCCAGCACCGGCTGGCAAGTGTATTGAAAATGAAAGTAAAAACGGGCATTAAGTTTTGCTTTTGTAATCAGAATCAGTTGAGATTATAAACTTGAACGATGCAGAGCTCCAGTTTATAGGAAAATATATATCAAAGTTATCAAAATGTTGAGCGTCACATATTCCCATTTTAAGGAGGCTGTAACAGACTTTTGCCAACAGGTGGCAGAATATAAAGTTTAGTTATCATTAAAACTAATGAGTGTAATTATGTTACCAAAAGTACTTTCATCACAATAAATGACCAATCTCAGCATAAAACCAAATATGTTTTGGTTACATTCAGTCAGAAACAGAACTAAACTTCATCAGAAAATGCTGCTGCAGTAGAAGAGCTGCTGCCGGTTCATCAAACGCTGTGTAACGTCCAGCAATGGTCAGTTCTTAGGTACTGTTTGACCATTCAACATCTGGTCAAAAAGGAGACATGAGACTGCATGTGTCCCCTTTAAACCAGCCTGCCTTCATCCCACCAGCTGGAGCTCAGAGCCTGCAGCTCTGAACACAGGTAATGAAATGTCAGCAATAATGTTCTCTCCTCAAGGTCCAATCTTTCAGGATTCTTCATGCCTCTGTATAAGGAACACTCGCAGCCCAGATTTCCTAAATCAGATATGAACTTCTACAACTTATAAGCTAGATAATCATTAAATAAATGTTTGTATGTTGCTACTTATAATAATTATAATATAATGACATGTTTCATTAATCTGTGCTCAGTGATTGACATTTGAAATGAGTGTTTTGATTGATTACAGTGATTGAAATATGTTTCAGCATGTTGATATGACAAGATCATCACCATTTACACTCACACAAGAACAAAGTAAAGTTAAGTTAAACGCGCGACACAGATAGTCCTTTACAACAGATCAGAGCATCCGGTATCAAGGAAGGCGTGTTTCTGAGACTCTTGGTAATATTCCTCAAACTTGTCAACCTCTGGTTGGCTACACGAATCATAACATGAGAACATTAAAACCAGATCACTCTGGTTTTTCCTCAGTTCTAGAGAAAGCTTCAGACCGGCCACCTGAAGCAACACCCTCTTTAACCATCAAAGCTTTTGACTCGTCGTCAAAACATTTTTGCACCTGCGAAGCTGATACAGCAAACAGTTCCTGCAGAACAAGCTGATATTGTTTAGACTCCTTCAGAGTCCCAGACACGCGGTTCCATCCATCTGCCGTGACCCGAGACATCTCTGGACTGAAGAGTCTGTGCCACGGTATTCTACAGCCCTTCAGTGCCAGAGGCCATCTAACCTTCGGATCCACCAAAATGGGTGAAGTAGACACACAGATAGCGTCTGATGTGCTTTTGATAAAAATCAACTTCAAACCAAATTCTTTTACATCCAGAACTCAGCTCTCCTAGATCCGGAAGTTCTGACTAACATCACATTCACACATAGGTTCATACATCACATCTAGCTCCATCCATCACACTAAATGTTAGTTAACTTGTCATGTTTTAATTGCTGGTAAAATAAATTCTTACTTTTATAAACCTGACTCTTTTCTCAATCAAAACGAAGTGTGTACAATCCCCTAATAAATAAACAATCCTAGAATCTTCTGATAAACATAGTAAAGACCAAGCAGGGTTGATATTCTATATTTAGATAAGAGTATCACAGCGTATTGGTCATAAGTAGAGGTAATATGTATTGAGCTCTTAAAGCACTCAATTTACCAAACCCTACAGCTGTTGGTGCGTTTTCCCCTCATTCTGCCATATTTACGTGCACCGACCTTAAACACCAACACAACACATATGTGAGTTGAGCCTTTTTATAGGCAGGAGTATGCATCATTCGGGAGTGACAAAGTAAAAGCATGCATGCAAATTGGAATATATCAAAATAAATGTAGTCACAATAATATTCTTTCTTCATGACATTGTTTTTGTTGTCTGGAGCCAAAAAAATAAATAAATAAACACACATACAAAACAAAAGTAAGAGTGTTAACAACAGTTACCTTCTTAATTCATTGAATAGCAGACTTTTAGCGCCATGGGATGAAACACACATTTGTCCATTTCTAGTCGGGCATTTTGTTCTCCAATCATCAAGTAATTTTGTTCTTATGCACCAAATTAAAGTCAAGAACCATTAGAGGACAGCTGGCCCCCTGGAGTGTCCCCTCATCTCTACAGCTACTAGAATATAGAAGAAACACACACACACACACACACACACACACACACACACATGCAGGAGGACTTTGTATCCAGCTTGTTGAATTGACTGATTAAAAATGTTGACTGTGTTTAAGAATTGAAAAGATGAGCTAGACAGACATGGATGGGTACTAAAGGAACTCTGAATGGCCCATTGTTGTCTTATGGCATCAAACCCCTTAGTGACTGCTCAGACCTGGTCATGTGACCTGAGTGGTCGCTAGTGATTGCCTCTCTAGTACCTGTTTTCTATGCAAATACACGTGTCCTGTGTCCCATTTGGCTGAGCCACGGATAGAACATGAACAGATCCACCGATTCCTTAAAATCACTAAAACATTCAGTCACCTGAAGTGTTTCAGAACGTGAAAGATCCTCATTTTATGTTGGAGCATTAAACAAGCTGAGCTGTATAATATGAGAAACATGACATGGGCATAGCAGATAGATTAGTGATGTTTCAGAGCTCAGTAACGGAGTGTCTGCTCACTGTTGATTTAATTTGTGTTCAGCCTTGTTAAACAGGAAATACATTGACTTCCTTGTGGATTTGTTTTGTGACACTTCTCATATCTTGTAGTTTATTGCTTGTGTGTGCGTTTACATCGTAGAGAGGCTCGTGTTTTTACTTAACACATGCATTAAGTATTCTAACTCTCTGGAACCAGTTTGGTGTGAACTATTAAATGATGAAATAACAATTTGGTTGGGTTGGCAGACATTTTATTGGATTACTGCTGGTGCAGCCTTGGTGGTTGTGCATGAATGAACTAGGCTGACAGTTGAGTAAATGGCTTATTCTGGTGATTACTTGATGAAAAAGAAGAAGACGAAGAAAATATCATTTCTATAGCTCCTCTCAAGATAAAAATCACGAGGCGCTTCGCAAAAATAAAAAATGTAAAAATATCAAAAAGAATTTAGAAAATGGTTAAAAATATATTTAAAATTAGCAAAAAATATAAAGAGAGAGAGTGAATAGGAGTGAATAGGAAAGAGGGAAGTCAGTGGATCCTGAGGAAGGTGGAATAGGTGGGGAGAGCAGAATAGAGTGGTGAAGAAGGTCATACAAAAGCCATCTTGAACAAGTGAGTCTTCAGCCGCTTTTTAAAGGAGACCACTGAGTCCACTGATAGGCTCAGGGGGAGAGAGTTCCAGAGTCTGGGGGGCCACAGCAGCAAATGCTCTGTCACCTTTGGTCTTTAGCCTGGTGCTGCACAACCAGTAGGCTTTGATCACTGGACCTCAGGGACCTGCTGGGGGTGTAGGGACTAAGAAGATCACCAATGCAAGATGGTTCTTGTCCATGTAAGGCCCTATAGCCAGAACCAGGATCTTGAAATGAACCCTGAAGTTGACTGGCAGCCAGTGAAGCTGGAGGAGAAGCGGGGTGATGTGGGTGTATTTGGAGGACTTGGTCAGAAGCCGAGCACAGGCATTCTGAACCGCCTGTAGACGGTTCAGGGAGGTTCTGCTCAGACACGTGAAAAGAGAGTTACAGTAGTCTAAGCGTGA